GGTACTTCCAGTCCCGGTCGCGGTACGACCCCAGCCACAGCCGCGGCGAGCCCGCCTCCAGCCAGAAGGGCCCGCCCTCGGGGTCGTAGCCCTGGTAGTGCACCAGCACGCGGCCCGCAACCGCGTCGCGCTGGAGCAGCTTTGCTTGGTACCTAGATTGGTTGAACATACCAATCGAGCGGCAAGAAATCATATTGTGCATGGAAGAGAGCGTGCTGGGGCAGGCTGACCCGCATTCGTAGGGTGAGGGGCGGGCGAGGCCCGCTGTACCACGGCAACAGCTGCAACGCGCTTGCAATGTTGTGAAAGGCGCAGGCATGCCAAGCGGGCCTCTACCAATGGTTGGTCTGCTGCTGTTCAGGAAAGCAGCGCCCTTCCCGGCGAGTGTGTGCATACAGGAGCGGTGGCAGCTACCCACCACTTGTCCTGTCCGTAAAGCACCATAGGCCGTGCAGGCACCGCAGACAGCGCCGCGCTCGCATCGGACGCCGATGATGGCGCCGCCGCCGTTGCTGCTGCCTGCATAGAAGGGACCGCTGGTGCTCGGCTCAGCGCCGCAAGCAGTGCCGATGGGTCCCCGGCTGCACGCCGCTTGGCCCCCACCCGCCGCCGCTTTGGCACCTGCAGCACCGCCAATGGATGCGTGTACTGTTCCTCAAAGGAACCGTCCAGACCGCCTGACGGCATTATGGGCGCTGCCGAAAGAGGCCTTGGCATCTCCTCCATGCATGAAGCCGTTCGTGTGCAGCGGCTCCGTGTCCGTGCGCTGCGTCGACACCCTCCACTTGGTGGTCCTCGCGCCAGGCCCGCGCTTTCTGCACTCTAGTTGACATGATGCATGATCGATGCAGAGTTGCGCTTGGTGAGCCGTCGCTTTCTTGTGATGGGACGCGGGTTGGCGATGAGACTGTGAGCTAGGCACGACTCGGTCGCCTCCCAAGCACTAAAGGGCACGCGTCGCCTATCTTGGATTAATGAGTTCAAGAAAATTACCCTGCGAATCGCTTGGATGTCTTGTGCAACTTCGTCAGATCGTTGCTGTCTGTCAACAACGCTAAACGGTGTGGTATCATCGTCATGTACGCAATGCAATGCAATTCATGAGCGCATTGGTGTTCCCAGAAGAAAGCATAGACCTGGGACCCGTGACAGCGGCCCAGCACAGCCGTTGACTGCATCACTCGTCTACCGTACTGTGCAGCTCGTTGGTGGTGCGAGCGCAAGGGGTGACAATTGGCTGGTTCAACATTCCCGATTGAGTCCGACTGCGAGCGATCACCATGCAATCGATGTTGCCCCGCGGCGTTTCAGCTCTGTGTGCGCGTTTTGGATGTCAAGGCACAAGCCTGCAGCAGGATATTGCAGTGCATCAGATGTTGCCGCCTCTCAAGCCAGCAACACCGTCATTGCTAGGACAATTGTCATCATTGATTACAGTTGTCATTATTGATTACAATTGTCATGTGTCCACGCAGTGCCTTATCTGTTATCTCACCATGGACCATGCTACTCTGGAACGACCACGCTGACTGGTAAGGGCAGGTCTCGGCAATGCATGCAGCAGGTCTTTGGCTTGGCACACGACACCAGAATTAGGTAATGGGGGCAGGTAGTGGAGCGAAGGCAGCAGTAGTAAACATCAATGCAAGGTCATTGCTGAGCCAATAGAGGTGCAGGTGAGTCCGCTCGATGAGGGCCGGGCCAATGGCAATAATGATGGGCACCAGTATCTGATCCAACTCTCCAAGCTGCGGCCAAGCTAGGAGCGGTTCACAGTGAATACCGTTTGGGGGCGTAGCTCACCGCACGCGCACAAGCGTGCATACCCACACGCGCCCCCCCCCACACACGCACACACACACATTGAAATGGGCACAGCGTCGCTTGCAGCATGGGTATTAACCAAGGGAGGCGTGTGCATAGTCCAACTCCATCTCTCCATCTCGTTTGACTGCATCAGTGTAGGATGCGCCTTCCAATGAGGTAGCCTATAGGGGCGCACCCTGACCGAGAGGGTTTCAATGCGGCCAAGTATGCGGGTTATGGGCATAGGAGGCTGCGGGGATGGGCAGCGATGCTGGATCTCACAGCTGCTTTGCTGTTCGGTCATGCACCGCCTGGCCTGCTATGCTTTTGACCGGTCTTCCAGCTTCAAGCATCAGCATCACGGTGTGCCGTTCTTCCGGATGGCCTTTGACGGTGACACACTGAAATTGAATTATACCGCAAATGCAACAATGAACAAGGGACCTGCTATGGGCACGATTATCTTTCGTTGAACCTTGTGTGCCCTAACGGCGATCTCCGACAGATCAAAAGAGCCGGATACGCTACGAAGCTTCAAAAATAATCACGCTACGTCTCACTGAATCCAGTTTTCATGCTCAACATTCACAGGCATACGCTGCTTCGCCAAAGTCTGTTGCTTGCCATCCCGGGGCACCGTGTGCGTGCACCAACTTCTCGAGCCACGACGCGCAACATGAGTGGGTATCACGGCCCGCTGCAAGCGCTGCTGTTGCATCGGGTCCGGGGGTTCCGAGCGCGCCGTCATCGCCCGCTTGGCGGCCTAGTAGCTATTGCCTTGGTTTGAAGCCGCCTGCGCGCAGTGCCTCAAACCACCTCATGCCACCTTGAGGCCACGGCTGACGCATGCTCCTTGCTATAAACAACTTATCAAGGCTCGCTGGGGGAGGCTCTGTCTGACACCGGCCACGGCGCAGCGCCGACGCCCAGCGGCACATTCACTCTGCGCGTCGCTTACAAGAGCCACGTCATTCACGACGGGCTGCAGCTCAAGCCCTCTCAGACCGCTGTGCAGCCACAAGTGCATGTGGAGGAGCCCGGGTGAGCCGGGGCGCAGCTGTGAATGCGCACGTGCGCCTCGTGCATAGCCACGCCCACCTACGAACTCCAGCGGTTGCGAAGCCAGTGTTGCCTGGGCGCCCCACGGGCAGTGTCGCTGAACAGGATGAGTTATCTTGGTCCCTTGGTGCCCCGTCGTCCGCCTGGCGCCCCTCCACACGAGTTGTTTCACTGCAGCGATGCCACAGCACATGCGCACCTGGCCCCGCGTCCGATTCCAACCGTGGCTGCAAACATGTCTGCAAAAAGTCTTCACGCCCCCCACAGATCACCCCAACCCTCCACCTTGCCTGCGCAGCCTCTTTACGCTGATCATGGCGGACCCAGACGCCCCCTCTCCGGATGCCCCTAAGAACCGCAGCTGGCTGCACTGGCTCGTCGTCAACTGCCGTGCAGGGGAGGTTGGAGGGGGCAACGGGGACGTGCTTTGCCCCTACAACGGGCCCACGCCCCCCAAAGGCACGTGAGTTGCACGTGTCGGATTGGCTGCATTTAGTATCTGATTGTTGCGTTGCAGTCTAATGACAATCACGGTGCACTCGCACGCATGCACGCACGTGTGCGCGCCCTCACACACACCTGCGAGCGTGCACTCTCAATATGGAGAGGTGTGTGTGTGCACAAGCGGAGGTGCGCGCATGCTCATACTTGCTTAAATCATAATTGCACTCAGCGCTGCCCGCCCACCCCACCTAAAGTCAGCGGTGCCCCGCCTTCTGCTGTTGCAGGCACCGCTACGTGTTTGTGTTGTACGAGCAGCCAGGTGGCGCAAAAGTGAAAGCCGCCAACCTCGACAACCGCGGCAAGTTCAACCCTGCGGAGTGGGCGCGTCAGCACGTCGGCACCGACTCGCCTGCCGCCGCCACGTTCTTCCTGGCTGCCCACGAGGGCTGAGGGCCGGCCGCTGTAGTGAGCCTTTGATGCAAACACAAAGTGTGTGTACAGGGCGGGTTTGGGCAATCATCTTGGGCCGCATGCTGCGGCAGGAGGCGCCGCCCCCGCAGCCAGGCAATACAATGGCTGCGATGGTGACGGTCAACCTGGCTGTCCTGTGTCTGGGGCCTACACACAGCTGAGCTGCTACGCTGCAAGGCGTGCATTCTCGCACACCGTGGGCGTTCGAGAGCAGACCTGCAGAGCAATCAAGTTTTTGCATGTGCACGACGCCTTTGCAACACGTGGTTGAGATTGAGGGCCCTGCATCAGTTCACAGTCAAATGGGCCAAACATGTGGCTGGCCAACAAATTGAAGTCTGCATTTGTTTTTGTGGTGCGGTGGTGGCACCCACGCTGCAGAGTTGCGGTTGCGTCACAGGGCTGGCCTCGGCAATGCTGGCTTGATGACTGCCTGATTGGCTGGCACAGCCGTTGGAAGCCAGCTGCGTTGTTGTGGGCTGGCGTAGCACACCTCATGTGACAAAGAGCCTAGCCCTTACTAAAGGTGACTTGGCGTGCACGTGTGGCAGCTGTGACAGCAAAGGCCTCTAGCGAAAAGCAACTCACACCCTCGTTCCCAATCAAAACAGCAACAAGCAACCAGTCATACGTGGCAGAGTCATGTGTGGCAGCGCGTGCCGCTGCAGAGAACAGAGAAGGAAGGAAAACAGCTGCCTGACAGACTGAACCCAGCTTTTGCACATGTCTCCATGTGGCAAAGCCCATTGGTGCGCCCGCCTGTGCGCCTTGTGATGTACACTAAAGCACCCATCCCTCTGCCACAGCGCAGGCAAGAGTAATCTAAATGGCTAAAAATGAAATCAGCGGCCGAGCCGGATGCAAGCCGCATCCGCGCACACTTTCTGCCGCCGGGTGGGCTGCCCGGCCACAGAGCCGTGTGCTGTGCACAGATGTGCAGTGTGCTTGCACATTGCCGCGACAGCTGTGCGGCCTGCGCGCTGCACCCAATGTTGCGCGGATTGTGTGGGGTGCGGCGCAATGTGCTTTCGGCTGGGCCCGAGAAGTGAAGCCGCCCTTGGTCGCAGGGCGGCCCCCTCTCCAAAAGCAGCATGCATCGGGGACAAATCTGGCAGCGGACGGGGCGGCACTCACAAGCAGGACTGCAGCACCATACACGTGCGGCGTTGACTGCGATGCTCACGACCACACAAAAGCAAGCTTTCAAGTCGGCTTGATGCCGTCACAGCAGCCGCCGCTTGCCCGCACTTGTGCAATGCAGCCGGACCGGTTTTCTCCTACACAGCAACACAGCAGATGGACTGGCCCCGCTCATACGTGCCCTTGCAGTGGATGGAGCACGTCAGCCCCCGCTGTCGGCGTGGCTGCTGGGACTGCAGCTGCGGCTCGCACAGTGGGTCAAGCGGCGACGCGACGAGGCCGGCGGCGCGTGGCTGCGACCGCGCTTCAGGGCGCTCGCGGCGCTGCCCCCTGAAAGAGCCGCCGAGCAACTCGCAGCGTTGTGCCCGCGCCAGTCTCTGAGCGGCGCGCCAACACCACGGCCGCGCCCCGCAGCGCAGCAGCCCTCTGCATCGCGACAGCCAACGGCACGGGGGCGCCCAGGAAGTCCCCTGCTGCGCCTGCCGGCGGCGCGGCCGGCATGCCTGCCGCCGCTGCAGCCGCTGCCGCCGCCGCCGCCGCTGCCGATGGACGATCCATCTGCTGCAGCTGCCACAGCGCGCGCCGCCGCGCGGCCTCGAACTGCGCGTCGAAGTTCCCGAGGTCGAAGAAGTTCACCCCCGACTTTGGAGATCTGACGACGTGGACCTCGGACTCGCCCGTCGCCGCGGGGTCGTCGGCGCCGCTGAAGGGCGAGCTGCGCTGGATGACGTGCACAACGCACGGCGGCGGGCGCGCGGCGGCGACGCGGCCGGCGGCGGGGGAGAGGGGGCTGCCGAGGGACTGGCGGCGGCGGCGGTCGCGCCAGGCCTTCAGGCCGATCCTGTCGACCACGCCGCCGTCCTTGAGCCCAGAGTAGCGGCCTGCGCGGGGCGAGGGGCGGCGCGGGCTAAGGGACGGCGCGGGGCGAGCCCAAGGCGAGTCGCGGGGCGCAAGTGTGACCGACGCGTCGCGTCAGTTTGGCGGCGTCCCGCAGGG